CAGCCCCTAAATTGGTTTTTTAAAATGATGTTTATCTACTTTTAGGTGTGTGTGTGGGTATGCATGTGCCATAGAGGTCAGAGAACAATTTTCAGGAGTCTATTCTCTCCTGCATGTGGATCCCAGATTTGAACTCAGGTTGTCAGATTTGGTAGCAAGCACTTTTACTCACTGAGCTGCATCAATGGCCCATTTTTAAATTTTGTCACAAGATCTTACTTTGTAGTCCTGGCTGTCCTGGAACTTACTCTATAGATTCAGCTGACCTGGAACTTGTGTCAATTCTCCTGCCTCTTTCTCTGGGGTCCTGTGGCTACAGGTACAGGCCACCACACCCAGTCAGATTACTTTTTGTATTGTGATAGTCCACGGAACCCAAATGAGGTCAGTTACAGCACAGCTGAGCAGATGATAAAGAGTCAAGGTTCCGTGGCAAACCAACTCTTTTACGTGTTCAATCCAGTAGAGGGCACTCTCAGCAAGGAGCAAAAAGAACAATTGATGCCCTCGAGAGAATTAGTTCTGATTTCCCCATCTAGGTGATTGTCAGCATGGTGTCTGGAATGTAGATCCAGGAGGTGCAAGGTCAAGTTCAGTATTTTGGTAATAATTAATACTTTCTTCCTTTTTTTTTTTTTTTTTTTTTTTTGGTTTTTCGAGACAGGGTTTCTTTGTATTGTTTTGGAGGTTGTCCTGGAACTCACTCTGTAGACCAGGCTGGCCTTGAACTCACAGAGATCCGCCTGCCTCTGCCTCCCGAGTGCTGGGATTAAAGGCATGCGTCACCAACGCCCGGCCTTCCTTTTGTTTTTGAGGCAAGGTTTTACTATGTAGGCCTGGCTAGCCTGGAACTCACTATGCAACCCTGGCTGGTCTACAACTCTCCTCCATGTTGGGACTAAAGACCATACATCACCATGTGCTACCATGCTCCACCATGCTCTTTGGTAGTAATTTCATATGAATAAATAATATATTTACATGGTTTGAAAACAAACACTGGTTGAACATAGTGGCACAAACCTTTAGTCCCAGTATTCAGTACTTGGGAGGCAGAGGCAGATGGGTCTCTGAGTTCCAGGCCAGGCTGGTCTATAGAGTGAATTCCAGGACAGCCAGGGCTACTCAGAGAAATAATATCTCAAAAAACCAAACCAAACCAACCAACCAACCAACCACCCAAACAAACAAACAAAAAGCAAAGGCTGGAGAGATGGATCAGCAGTTAAGAGCTTTCAAAAGGACAAGTTCAGTTCCCAGAACCCAGATCAGGCAGCTCACAATTTCCTACAATTCCAGCTTCAGGGGTTCTGATTCCCTCTTCTGGAATCTTTTCATGTCTTTATGGGTCATCTAAAGGGGACCCACACCTACAATCCCTGCATTTGGGAGGTGGAGGCAGGAGAATCAGGAATTCAGAGTTATCCTCTGCTATATAGTGAATTGGAAGTCAGTTTGGGCTACACGAGACCCTCTCTCAAGTCAACACAAAAAAGGACAGAAGGGGAAATTGCTTAATCAGTAAAGTAATTGCTGTGGTAGCATGAGGCCCTGATTTGAATCCCTGAATTCACATTTACAAAATAAAGTCTGGGCATTGGTGGTGCACATCTTTAATCCCAGTACTTGAGAGGCAGAGACAGGCTGTGAGTTTGAGGCCAGCCTAGTCTACAGAGAGAGAGTTCCAAGACAGGCTCCAAAGTACAGAGAAATACTATCTCGACAAAACCAAACCAAACAAACAAACAAACAAATAAATAATAAAAAATAAAGCCAAGTGGTGGTAGTGTTTGCAATTGCAGTGCTGGGGAGGCAGGGAGTGTAGACAGTTGGATCCTTAGGGTTGAATGGCCAGCCAGACTAGCCTAGCTGTCAAGCTTCAGGCCAACTAAAGAACTGACTGAAAAAACAAGGTGGAAATCATCTGAGGTCCTCTGTTCCACTCACACATGCTCATATGGAAGGAACACACACACATGTGCACATACACACAGGCACACAGAGGGCGAGAGAGAGAGAGAGAGAGAGAGAGAGAGACAGAGAGAGAGAGAGAGAGAGAGAGAGACAGAGACAGAGACAGAGACAGAGAGACAGAGAGAGTGCCACTGGAACTGACTAGTTGCACTTTTGAACATTCTTTGAGGTAGTTGCATGGCTTTCTTTCTTCATTTTGTAAGGGTGCTACTACTTTCCTTAGGAGCCCCTCCATATGTGTGTGTGTATGTATGTATGTGTGTATGTATGTATGTGTGTGTGTGTATGTATGTATGTATGTGTGTATGTATGTATGTATGTATGTGTGTGTATGTATGTATGTGTGTGTATGTATGTATGTATGTGTGTGTATGTATGTATGTGTGTGTGTATGTATGTATGTATGTATGTATGTATGTATGTATGTGTGTGTATGTATGTATGTATGTGTGTGTGTATGTATGTATGTATGTATGTGTGTGTATGTATGTATGTATGTATGTGTGTGTGTATGTATGTGTGTGTGTATGTATGTATGTATGTATGTGTGTGTATGTATGTATGTATGTGTGTGTATGTATGTATGTGTGTGTGTATGTATGTATGTGTGTGTATGTATGTATGTGTGTGTGTATGTATGTATGTGTGTATGTATGTATGTATGTATGTGTGTGTATGTATGTATGTGTGTGTATGTATGTATGTGTGTGTGTATGTATGTATGTGTGTGTATGTATGTATGTGTGTGTATGTATGTATGTATGTGTGTATGTATGTATGTGTGTGTGTATGTATGTATGTGTGTGTGTGTGTGTATGTATGTATGTATGAATGGTTTTTGTTGTGGCTGTCTTGTTTTTTGTTTAGACAGGGTTTCTCTGTGGAACTGCCCTGGCTGTCCTGGAACTCACCCTGTAGACCAGACTGGTATGTATGTGGTTTGCACTGAGACGATCTCATGTAGGCTACACTTCAATTGGGTATGTATCTGAGGACCACCCTGAACTCCCGATTCTCTTGCATCCACTTCCCAAGTACGAGGACAATAGGTGTGTGTCTCTATACTTTTTATTTATTTGAATGTATGTATATATATGTGTGTGTGTGAGTGTGTATGGTGTGTGTGTGAATGTGTGTGTGTGTGAATTAGTGTGTGTTCTGGGTTTTAAGCTTCCGTTTGAAAGACTTTTCCTATTCCAGTCAAGAAGGAAACACCTTGGGTTTTCTTCTGGCCGTTTTGGGGTTTCCTTTGTCCATGTTTTGACACTGGTGCCTGCTGTAGACAACCCCCATCCTTTCCAATGACCATCTTCCCTTACCTTTACCAAGGACCACTGTGGACTACATCAGCTAGGAATTTGTTTTATCCCCTTCCCCCCCATGTATCTCCGTGGGGAGGCACATGCATGTGCGTATGCATGCCATAGTATGCTTGTAGGGCTGGAGGACATTTGAGAAAGCTGGTTCTCTCCTTTCTTTATGTGGGTCCTAGGGATCACATTCAGGCCATCAGGCTTTGCACCTCCTGTTTTTACTTTTCATTCATGGCAGCATCTGCTCCACTTGTCTGCAGCTCCCGTGCTGTCCGCCCACCGTTATTAGCCCACCACTGATTGACAGATCCACTAATTTCCTTTTGTTTTGTCAAAGATTCTAATTTCACCCCCCTCTCTTCCTTTTTTCTAATCTTATTTTTATTTGTGTGTGTGTGTGTGTGTGTTGTGCATACATGTGCAGATGCCTACAGGGGTCAGAAAAGGGCATCAGATTCCCCTGGAGCTGTAATTACAGACACACACGGGTAATGGGAAAGAAACTGAAGTCCTCTAAAAGAGGACGAACGACCTCTCTCAACCTGAGACAGGGTATTATTTTGTAGCCCAGGCAGGCCTGGAACTCAGGCTGGTTGTCAATGTACAATCCTTCCTCAACCTCCTGAGTTCTCAGATGACTGGTTTGAGCTACCATGCCCAGAGTAATTTTTTTTTCATTTGAGGTGCTTGGGAGAGAACCTGGGACCTCGAAGATGCTAGACCTCTGGGCCATGCCCTCAGTCTTGAGGGTTCTCCTGTCTGTTGTACATTGTTCCTGATTTTTTCAGTTTATCTCTAGGATTCTTTTTAGTTATTTGCACACCTTCAGTTAAAGCTGAAGGTGCCCCGAGAGGCTGACCGTGCTATTCTTACCACGGGAGGGAGAGCAGTACTCTTGGAAGAGTTTAGGGTTTGCCTGTGGCTCGGAGCTGAGAAGTACAATTCCAGAGCTGGGCCTCCAGGCCCTGCCTTTCACCTGCCTGTAGGACAGACAGTAGATGCTGCTGAGTGAATGAATTACCCATGATGGAATTAAGGATGCCCCCCACCCCCCACCCAGTCTGCTCTTGCTCCGGGCCCAGCGTGACTGCAGATAGCCAGGGTACAAAGTCACCAGTGATTCCCAGTCTGCCCCTTTCCAAATGAAATGCTTCCTTCTTTCTAATTCCTCCCATCCCAAGTCCACAGAGCAAACACTGGAAGTGAGGGGGCGTGGGGAGCTCTGCAGCCCAGCTCACTAGTGGAGGCAAAGGAGAAGATACTAAGATGGAGGGGAAGAGGAAGACGGGTAGAAGGGGTGGGTGGAGGAGGAGGAAGGAGGCTTTAGGGAGGAGGGAGAAGGGTCTTGGGGTGGGATAAACAGGATAGATGAGAAGAGGGATGAACAAGGAAGAGGCTGAGTGTAGAGAGGGAGGACAATGGAGTGAGAGACGGAGAGAATGGGAGGAGAAGAGAGGGAAGGAGGAGAGAGAACGAGATCAGAGAACACAGAAGGTAGTGGGAGAAGAGAGGGGCTGAGGCCCACAGAGCGGTAGGGAGGGAGGAGGAAGAAGGCAGGATGAAGAGGAAGAACCCCTCCTCCAATCTTCCGCGGAGTTGCGCAATCCACCTAGGCTGGGATTGGCCTCTGAATGTGCGAGACACCCCGCCCCCGGTCCTCGTGACCAATGGCGACTGAGGGGCGTGGCCTTCCTGGGACTAGAGTCCAGGCGCGCGCTCTGGCTCCGCATTAGCCGCGGGCGCCACTCTTAGAACTCGAGTAGGAGTGGGAGTTGCAGTCATCCCCCCCCAGCTCGCTCTCAGCGCCGGCTCGACCCTCGCAGCTTGTCAGTGAAGCGCTTACTGGCTCTGGCAGTGTCCTCTCGGCGGCCATGGCCACGAAGATCGACAAGGAGGCGTGTCGCGCGGCGTACAACCTAGTGCGGGACGACGGCTCGTCAGTCATCTGGTGAGCAACGCCGCGGGCCCGGGGATGCCCGTAGTGACCTGCTTCGTGCCTCCCGCCGCTGCCGCTCACCTCTGTTTCTTTTCTTCCTCCAACCCAAAGGGTGACTTTCAGATACGATGGCGCTACCATTGTCCCCGGCGACCAGGGAGCGGATTACCAGCACTTCATTCAGCAGTGCACAGGTAGGGTGACCTGAGACCTTTTGGGAAAGGGTGGGGCACCCTGGGCGCCGAGGTGTTGGTCATCTAAACAGCAACAGATCTGGGCTGGGTTTTTTGTTCGTTTGTTTTAAAGACAGGGTCTCACTATGTATCCAGGGTGACCTCCAACTGGCCATCCTCCTGCCCCAAGCATCTAGTACTGGGACTGTAGGCATGCATAGCCATGCCAGGCTCTGATCTGAGCTTCCTGAAGTCCAGTGTGTGTCCCTCATCCCCTACCCTCTTTGGACATCACCAGAGGCAGAAGTGACCGGTGCAAATTCCTCCCCTTGCAGTGTCGGACAGCTTCTTCCGCCCCCTGTGGTTCACTGGGTTTCCAGGTCAGATCGGCCAGTTCCAACTCCAGTGTCCAACCCTATCCACCACCCTCTCTGATTGGTCAGTGAACAATAACAACGAAGCCCCTGGGGGCTTAAAGCTAAAGGCAGAACCCAGGGCCCCACCCTCCTTTCTCCTTCCATCTTTGTCCGTATCTGCCTCGGTAGAAGCCTTTAATTTGCAGAGTACAGAGCCACCTACTAAGAGCAGACGCCTGATGTTGCTATATGAGGTCTGGAGAAAGTGAAGCTGACTTGGGAGGTCCAAGTGGACAGTTTCCTTTGCAGTGAATGGCCACTGCCTGGGGGTGGGGCACGGGGGAAGCTCTGGGAGCTGAAGTGCCCCATCGTTTGATTTGAAGGAATAATTCAGATGTGTGGCTAAGTAAAAGCATCACCCGGGAAACCTAAGGTTTGTGTGTATTCCAAGGCACCTCCCCACCCATGGCCCGAGAAAGAACACATGGCCTGAGAGGCCACAGCCCCTTGTAGAAGTAGACCTCAGCACACACTTGATAATGTCATCGTTTAAGGAGCTGGTGTGTATGCAGCTCAGCCTTCTGAAAACAGAGGCAGGAGGATGGAGAGTTGGAGGCCAGCCCGGGCTGTGCACTCCTGCCTGCCCCATCTACCTGGAAAAAAAGAAGATCCTCTAAAGATATTGGAAGTAGGAGATCCGGGGTCCTAGTGTCTCCTGCTGTCTTTAGCTTTGGAACAAACTTCAGACAAAGGCAGGCCACCCGGAAGCTAGGGTGTGGACTCCCAGCAGATGGCTGTGGGTTTGAATCCCACTGGGGCTGCTTCCCAGCTGGGTGGGTTGGGGACAGGTCCCTGTGGGGGGTCACAGTTCCTCACCTGTCATCTCTTAGTGCTGGTGTGGGATTGATTGATCCCAAGTGTGTTAAGTGTTCAGTAGAGAGTCTTTGGTGGCATACAAACAAAAAGTAAACCAGGCTTTCTTTTTTCCTTTTCTTTTTCTTTTTTTTTTTCTGGTACTGGGTATAGAACATAGTGTATGGAACATGCTGGGCATAGTCTACCATTGAGGCACATCTCAGCCTTTTGAAAATTAAAGCATTTTATTTTGAGAGAAGTTCCCACTCAGTAGTCCACGAAGGCCTTGAACTTCAGCTATCTTCCTACTTCTGCTTCCTGGCTTGTGCTACCTGGTGCTTTAATTGCTTTCTGGCCTCACACTTGCTATGTAGCTGAGCCTGGCCTAGAACTCCTTATCCTCTTGCCTCTGCCTCCTAAGTGCTTGAACTGTAGGCATGTGTCACCGTGTATAACTTTCTTAATTGAATGGTCTTTTGTAAGTAGTTCATCTCAATGGGCATTTACTTTGTGCTGGGTGGTACTGAGATTAGTGTGTGTTGGTGTGTTGGTGTGTAAGTGTTTTCCTAGCTAAAATGTCTCCAGGGAGTTGCTGCTAGACCCTGTATTCATTGCTTTTGTAAATAATTCACTTAAAGCATCACCGGCGTAAAGTGCAACTCAGCACTGCTGTGGAGTCAGTGTGCAGGCTTCTGGCTCAGGAGCAGGACCTCAGCTGCTCTGATTGCGGTAAAGCCTCCACAGTGGGGCAAGTGCAGGCTCAACTTTCCCCAGAGTTGGTGCACCGTCAGCAGGATTGGCCTCCTAGTTCCTGGGACTGGGTGCTGCAGGCCCACTTCCCTCCTCACCAGATCCGAGCCCACCCCCAGCTGTCCTGCCTCTCTGTTTCTTCACCAAGCTGGTGAAGGTGACAGAGGAAGGCCGAGCATCCTGCTGCTAGATCCCTAGCTGATGCCCTGGGCTATTGGACATCCGGCCTGAATGCTGCTTGGGGGACACTTCCTTCCTCTGGTGGGCTGTGGCTCTCAGCTCAGGTCTCCCTTTGCTCATTCTCTACTGGGATGGGATGGCAAGCGTCTGGCGGATGAGCTAAAAATGCCCTGCAGGCTGCTTGTTGGTCCTTGTGAATGGGCTGTGGGATCTGAGGCTCGTCTGCTGCAGCTGCAGTCTGTTTTCTCTTCCCAGCCATCTGGTGGACAGTGTACAGATGGTTCTGCTTGCCACGTCTGCTCTCTGGCCCTCCCCTGCTGAGTCCTCCTGAGCCTGGGACCCTACCCTCAGCATTCCTACTTGTAATCTTACCTACCACCGTACCTGACCTGAGTGTCAGTCAGTCATACTTTGAGTGCATTGGCTCCTCCTAAGGATTGCAAACCAAGACCTAGACAGGTTAAGTGACTTACCTACCACCACACAGCTAGGAAGAACAGAGCTGGAACTGGACTGAACTCTGGATCTCATTGCTCTTGGCCCTACGGAAGTGGTTTCAGGTCTTGTTCCTTGTGGAATGGTTTGCAGATTAGAAGGCCATGTTTACTTACTGTGATGTATGTAGGGAGAGCCCTAAGTCAGCTGTCTTGGCAGGCCCTTGAAGAAAGGCTTTTTTTCTTGTTTCCAAGAGCCTCCGAAGTGTGCAGAGTACAACCCTGCCTTTCTTATGGAATTATTCTTCTTAATAACTACATAATAATTAGCAAAAGAATAACTATATAAATATTAGTTAACAAAGTTACTTTGACTCCTGTAGCTTCCATCCTGACACTCTTAGTGGGTGCCTAGCCCAGCACACAGTGGGTCTGCCCACATCCTGCCTGTGATGGCCTCTTATGGCACTAACTTTAGCCTGGGTCTGTTTTCAGTAGTTTCTCAGTCCATGGGGAGAAGTGGTTGCCATGGTGCTGAAGGGTTCAGGCTGTGCCAATGTTCTGGGTTCAGATCCATTTCCTGAAGCAGGCAAGCTGCCCATCTGGTGACCCTTCTGCCATGTGGAATCAGCAGGAGTGTATGTATACTTAGGGTTCAGTGAGTCTTCAAATGCCAATGAGTACGATTGGTGTTTTGTTCGGGGATGGGGAAACAGCTGAACTGGGATAGGGGCCTTGGGGACCCCAGAGAGCCATGTGGAGTCAGGCAGCATCAAGCTCAGCTCACAGAGGTGAACCAACCAGAGAGGATGTGTCATCCACGTGACAGCTGTAGAAAGGATCATATATCTGGCATGGGTGACAAGGCAGAGGTTCCAACTGTCTGGAATCATATTTTGTTTTTGTATTACACAGACAGCTCAAGAGTCTTTGTGTGTGTGTGAACGTATATGTGTGGGTGCATGTGTATGCGTGCCCATGTGTGTGCAGTCCAGAGGTCAGTGTCAGTGTTTCATTTATCACTCCCTACTGTGTTTTAAAATTTGTGTATGTGTGTGTGCGCCCCCTCCCATGCATGGACGTGCCATGGTGCACATGTAGGGGGCAGTGGACTGTTTGTGGGAGTCAGTTCTCTCCTTCTACCACCTGGGTTTCAGGGATCAAACTCAGGCCATCAGGCTTGAGGACAGGCACTGTCATCTGCTGAACCATTTTGCTAGTTTGCCGCCTTGTTCTTTGAGACAGGGCCTTTTACTGAACTGGAGCTTACCTCTAGATGACCAGTGCATCTCACGGCTTCCTAGCATGTTACCACATCCAGCTTTTATGTGATTTCTGGGATCCAGATTCAGGTCCTCATGCTTATACAGCAAACCTCTCTCTCTCTCTCTCTCTCTCTCTCTCTCTCTCTCTCTCTCTCTCTCTCTCTCTCTCTCTCGTTTTTTGAGACAGGGTTTCCCCGTATTGTTTTGGAGGCTGTCCTGGAACTCGCTCTGTAGATCAGGCTGGCCTCGAACTCACAGAGATCCGTCTGCCTCTGCCTCCCGAGTGCTGGGATTAAAGGCGTGCACCACCAACGCCCGGCTAGCAAACCTTTTCTCAACTGAGCCCCTCAGTGGCCCAAGATTCTTTTAGAGTATTCAGAAGCTCAGTGCAAAGAAGAGGTGAAGACCGTTCACAAAATGAGTTCCCCCAGTTATCTGTGTTGCCGTTGGTCTTCATATCCATTCATTCTGTGCATCAGTGGCTACTCTGTGGACTTGTTCTGGGAATGCAGGGACATGTCACAGCATAGAAATTCCTACGCCCAGCAGATGTCTCATGGTCCCCCTAGACGACTGACCACATGACCACGGACCTAGTTTTTGTCCATGTTCTTGAAATATTTCTCTATATGTATTTTCTGATCCAAAATGCCACCAGCCTGTGTTGGACCACTCACCTTCTCAGCTGGGGTTGAGCTACCTCCTCTGTCTTTACTACCTTTTTTTCCCCTGTGGCCCCTTTAAAACGGCTACATAACATTCTGTCTGTCAATTGCAACGTTGTCTAACCAGTCTTCCTGATAGACCCAAAGTCTTGCCGCAAGCCAGTTTTCTTTTGGAAAGAACCCAGGCTTCTGGGAATGCATCCAGTGTTCTGGTGTAGATTTTAGAGCCTGTGGGGAATTGCACAGCTGAAGGATCCGATCTTCCTCTAGCTGAAGCCTGACTGGGCTGTGTGACCTTGAGCAGGTCTCCCAGGTTCTCTGTTTCTGCATCTAAGATAAAATGACAGGGTATAGAAGCACTGCCTGCGACTGGAGAAACAGTTCAGCAGTTAAGAGCTGGCTGCTCTTCCAGAGGACCCGAGTTCAGTTCCCAGCACCTACACGGCAGCTCACAAATGTCTGTAGCTGCAGTTCCAAGAGATCTAACACCCTCATACAGACATACATGCAGTAAAA